TTGATGCGTGTTTCACTTGGTAAAAAATTTTAAAAAGAAAAATTCTTCAACAAATCCAACTCTTTCAGTTGGTGATTTTCAACAGCAATACTTGATAACATTTAAAACGATTGGATACAGAACATGGAGGTATAATACGGAAGCACCATTATTAGATTTTAGACAATTCTATCATCAATTGCGGATTTTGGAAAGCAATTATAAAATTTATAAAAACTTTTTGTGGATTCATGGCTGGAAACCTTCATCGTTATGAGTAATCATCATCAAGAATATGACAACAAAGTGGATGCGACCGTTTTATTTCAAGAAGATGACCATCAAAATATTAATTTTATAATTTTCATCAACATCAACAACATGTAGAACAAAAAGAACAACATTTCCTTGTTCTACATCAATTACATCACCCCAGAAAGTTTCAAAACTTTCCTTCGAGCATGGGAAGAGTTGTAGAAGATTAATGTAAAATTAATTTTACTGCAAGTTAAACAAACTGGCCCAATTTGAAGAGGAGGACGAAGATTTGTTATCGTACCTCATCAGGATGGGCGATTTGCCAATGCTTTTCGAGTATTTTCCATAATTTGCCTAGTTGATTTTTCACATGCTTCCTAACATTAACTGTTCATCATCTACTTCTTTAATCTTCATCACCACAACAATAAATACATCCCAGTGATGTTATCTACCAACAGTTTTCTTCTTGTTAATTCATATCAACAGCTAACGAAGAGAATCATCAAGCCTTCCACCAACAACAAATTAGCCTTGCTTTCCTTGCAACTACATGATAGACAAGCAACCTTCCTAACCGATTTCATACCAATATTTAAAGTCATATCACAACCATTTTGTCAAGAAATATTAAAATAAGTGAAATGATTCTTTGCAGCTTGGATTCAACAACATTAGTAACAGAGATGCTGACCAAAATTGGAAAAACTGATGTGAAACTTTGATCAACTTTGCTAAAAAGAGTTGTGACTACATTTCAACAGATTGGAATGTTATTACTCTTGCACATATTACAATGACAACTTGTAATTTTTCATGTCAGCTTGTTTGGGAACAATCACCATGCATATTGTAGCAGTTATTTCCATCTTATCTTCTGGCTTACTCAACAATCTACCAGCTCCAAAAGAATGTTCATTGAAAATGTCCCCTTTCTTTTCAACTAATAGCTCTCTACAGAATAGCTTACCAGTTTCTGAATGATACAAATCAATAATTTTCGGCAATTCTTCCTCATCATACTCATCCTCTTCCTCTTCCTCATCATAATCCAGGTTCTTACTACTAAATATAATAGTTCCA